GATTGATGAAACAAAATTGGCAAAACGTAGATATCATTTAAACCAGATGATGCATACAAGGAGCTCATTTTACTATTCTCTTCACTTTTGTATATCTTTGAAATTTTCCATAATAAAATGTTAAAAATACATACACATCAATATGCACACACCCAAGCCCCAATCCTGGAGACTAAAGGGTAGGAACTACTGAGTATACAATTTTTTTTACAAAAAGCTCCACAAGTGATTGATTTACACCCTGCTTTGAGAATCACAGCTTTTCATTCTTTTAACAAATATTCACTGAGCACCTACCATATACCAATCCCTGTGCTAAGCAGTAAAGAATTTATACCTAAGGAATTTATAAACTAATGCAAGGGAAAAGCATTTCAACCCAAACCATAAGGCATTATAAATGCCATGATAGGGGTACATTCAAGATACTAGGGGTGCAGACAATGTTCTTGTGAGTACTACATTTTCTTCATCTTTTAACCCCTGTGACTCCTACTATGACGTCCTTCACTCAGAAGATCATTAAGAATGTGTTTCAAGTTCATCTTTATGACTGATACTGAGTATCATAAACAGCTGGTTTTCCCAAAAAGTTCTACCTCCAAGGACTTGTATTTCTCTCATTCACTCATTTTAAAGATAAGTGAAGATGAATATCCTATTAACATAAGTTTCTCAGAGAAAGGTGCCCAAAACATGGTAGTATAGCTCCCCATAAATATGAGCCAAAATGAAGACAAATGAACAAGTGGCTGCTGTTATCTAGAAAGACTAGGTACACTGCTCACTCACACATCCCCTAGCCCCAGGTTTTAAACGGAACAAAGAAGTTCCTAAAGCTCGGTCATCTATGACCTACTTAACAGAAACACGGGTACAATGAAAATATATCTAGTTTGTTCTTAGTGCCTTAAATATTTACCTCAGAGATCAGAATTTTAGAACTTGAAAGACACCTTAAGGAGTTCAAATTTACAGTGCTACCTGAAGGTGAAACTGAAAGTCCATTTTTATTTAAATAAGCCATGCTTATATCAGACTTTTCCTTAATCAGTTAGTTAAACACAGTTAAAAACAGACCGCCAGGCTGCTTTTAAATAGTAATTCCCATCAGAAGAACTGATCAAAATATGCTGAGTGACCTACAGAATGAAGAAGCTAGAAATCATGATTTCCTAAGAGTCTAAGCAACTCTGGTTTGATGAATTCCTATTATGTGTTAAGAAGCTGGATCAGATGATCTCAAAAGCATTCAAAATTCTGAAAACTATCAACACAGTTCAAAAATACCATTTTAGAAAGAGCTCCAATAAAACAGTCCTAAACATAGCCAACTTAGTTAAAGAGAATACTTTAGAAACATTTAAAAATTTTTTTTTTTTTTTACCTGATCAAGGTGAGGTTGTGTTGCTGGCACATGTTGAAGTTTTTTCTGCAAACTAAGAACAACTGATTATAAATTCACAGATCCATACACTTCTGATTTAACTCTATACATTACTTAGCAACACAAAGCTAAATAAGAGATTTTCCATAATTGAATCTATTCCACAGTTCCAATTTTACATTTTGTTCACATATTCTAATAGAGAAAACCTAGAAGACTAAGTTTAAAAATTTCTTGCAAATGCACACACATACATATACATACAATAAAGAGAAAAACTAATCTTTTAGCAACCCTATTTTGTGTGGTTCAATATGTCAACAGATTTCTTTATAATTCCAAGA